TCAAAATATTGTGGCTGAGACATGAGCCAATTAAACGTAGAAATAGGAAACCTAGAAATATAGTAAAAACGCTGAATAGTACTCCAGCGTCGCGACATGCCGACGTTGGTACGAGTAGGTTAGTCTACAAACGTCGCCCTAATTAATTGATTTTACCCGGCAGAACGAAAGAAGGAAACTCCGCTTTTCAGTTGTCTCAGGCGATTGATTTTTGACAAACAATGACCTTTCAGAGGTCAAATTGCTGTCGAGAATATGAATTGGCTGCTTCGCAGCAAAAACCTTTTAATTGATTAACTTCTGTGTTATTTTCTTTTATGACAGAATGATAATTTGATCTTGGTTCCTCTGCTTGTTGATGATCTGGAAGATGTTCCTCTAGAATTTAAACAGATTCAACTGGTGAATGCGACTGGAGAGTTCTTCACATCAGCTATACAATCTACCAGCACCGCCATCTTGAAGCACCTGAAAGGAAAGCAGACTAAAATGCAGTCTATATTCACTAAAGTAAGTAAATAATGTTTTATTTAACGCTTGATGTAAAGTGGGGGTGGGGGAAAAAGTCCGGATGTAATTGTCCTAGGGGAAAAAGTCCAGGGTGGCAGTTATCATGGGTGGAAATGTCCGAGGGGAGCAACCACCCTGCTTCCATAAAATATATGGAACAGTCGATATTTACAACATAAACGTCCATGCACCTAAATACCCTAAATCTTGTCTTCTACTAATTCAACCTTTAATATACTAATATATCACTATCATTACATCAAAACAATCCCTTTACAGGGGTCCCAAGTTGCAAGGAGATCACTTTAAAGGAACTTTCATTATTGTATATTAGTTAACATCAAGTCATCTATAATTACTCGCTAAAAGGCTGCCTTCGATGGCCTTTTGTGAGGCCAGAGGTACTGGGGTAAGTCCAGCTATTTGCAGGAGAGGGTGCAGAATGAAGGAAACTCCTGTATAAATAACATTTTAAACAAGTTTAAATGACCTTGGGAACCGTTTTCTGTCTTGTCACCCTCCCATCTTCCGAGACTTAAAGCCAACAATAATATTAGCCTGAAAATAATTCTCATAAATCCAATACAATCCAAATTAGTCATTTATAAATGACTACATAACTGCACCCTACGTAATTTTAGGCACCTCACAACCCACAGACAGTCATAATCATTGCCTAACCCAAGCACAGAACAAGTAAGCAAAAAATGAGTTGTTGATCATCCCCTCCCTACTTTAAAAAATCTCCTGACCAATTTTTTTTTTTTTTTTTTTTTTTGGCCAAAAGTTTCGAAAATATCGTAATTCAACTTCGACTAGGTCTATGTTTTTTTTTTTTTTAATTATTTTCTTTCATTTTGTTTTGTTCATGTAAAATCTATTTTTACACAATGTTTTAAAATGTAGGTCTTAATTTCTTAAATGCTTTTTGAATTTTTATGACATTTTACTTCATTTATCCTACCTTAACATATACCCTACCATATTTGAATACAAATATGACTATTGTTAAGCATGGACACAGTAAATGCATAATGTTCATCACCACATTTATCCATGAGTTGTCTAGGAGAAATACGGTAACCTGGACGAAATGAATAATTGTTCTGTTTTGTCAAATCTAATCGCGATATTTATCATACTAGAGAGTAAGCGAGCACACCCTCTAGTAATATCTAATTATTCCTTATTTTATGACCTTAAAACAAGGCTGACGACAAACCAATATTATTTTAGATCCTTTTTAATTCCTATAATGTATATTATATCTTCACTTTTCTTTTTTCACAACACTCTAGCCAAAAACCTCCCCGAATATCCTGGAGACCCAAGAGCGGTTGAGGAGAGCAAGGCTGACTGACAGATATCCATTGCAAGCTAACTGGCGAGATAAAATATTCCCGCCAGATCTGGAAAGTTATTATGTAAAAGAACGAGATCAAGCACAGGATGAAGACATTGGTGGTCAATCTGATAAAAAGAATGAAGAAGATGCAAACAATGATGAGCTAGCTGGACAGAAAGATGACATAAAAGAAGACAAAGATGTAAATTTAAAAACAGGAGATGAAGAAATTAATAATGAAAAGGATTTGATTAAATTTGACATAGTAATAAGCTGTACAGAGCAGGACCTGAAGTTTGCCAGGTTCTTTAAAAAAATGCTCAAAATCTTTGCCCCCAATATTACCATCAGCTGTAATGAAGGTTCAGATCAGGAAAAGCGTGCAGTACTAGAGAATGCGTCGAAGGTTGTAGCATTTGTTTCATCAAGCTACACAGAATCACATTCGCATATGGAAGAGTTAAACATAGCTCTCTGTCGACATCGTTTTAGTCCTCAACCAATCCTCTTTGCGATTCAGCTTCATGTTCTTCCAAAGTTTCCGTCATATGTGCATCTGATTCCTTATCGATTTTGCGTCATAGATGAGTTGTGGAAGCAAATTGTGAAGAAAGTTGACTGGTACAGTACTATATTAATAATTGTTTGCTACCTTTGTATGATCTGATTTTTAAAACTAATCAAAACGTTGATGTAACTTGCGTTATTATCGAAGCTTTGTTTGTTAACATCACAGCTTAATTTTTAATGAACGAAAGATGGTGCAACAGTGAGTTGTGTATAGTATATATGAGGCCATTACTCATAAATAGTTTCATTTCATTTTTATTTAATTTTTCAGAAAAATACCATGAAAGACAAGCACTTCTTGTTTTGGTGTTAATGAGTGAAGCTAAAATTATAATGTTCCATCAACATTACTTAATTCAATTTTCGTATATTATTGCCACCCATCAATAAAATCAATAAAAAGCAAATGTTGTTCATTAAAAAAAAATCATTGATCGTAAAATCACAGATAGAAGTTTCATGTAATTCACATACATTTTAATAAAAAGTCCATATTTGCTGGCAGAAATTTAAGTTGCTATGAAAAGAGTAAAATTATTTTAACATCCATTAATGAACAAGCAGCAGTTTATTTTAATATTTCAGTTTATTCTACATCTTCTGTCATTGCAATATTTAATTATAGCAAACCCATAGTTAGAGATCTTATATTAGAAACTTTGTTGGAAAATCTGACATTCTTTTATACTGGTCTCTCTCAGTGACACCAGTGAATTATGTTGTGCTATTAGAAGTACATAGAGAATGTTTGTAATATATGCTCTACAGATACATAGTCATTATCATAACTGTTTTCATCACATTTTGATGTTTGTCTTGTAAATTTCTTTTATGACTTTACAGCCTTAGCCTATACTGTTTAGGTATGTAATTAATGGTCAATAAAGTATTCTTGTATCATATTCAGGCAGGGAGCAAGAACGCATACACTTATCCTTGCAACCAGGAAGTTATTTGAGTACAGTAAGAGAGTTTCTGTTGAAGCTGCTATCTCACTGACGGTTGCTGTTGGGGACCTTATTCAAGAATTTAAAAAAACAAGGTTAGTTTAATAAAGGGAAATTCTCATTACATATACTTGTATGATTCAATTTCTTCGATTTAGCATTCTCTCTACGCTCACCAGGCACATCTACGCGTTGTCACACAGTACTGCATCACAGTGAATCACAGGGTAGAAAAAGATTTATATTTCAACAAACATTGCGGAATGAATAGCATATTAGCAGCTAACATTTTACTTAACTTGCAGCTAACATTTTATTTGCGCTTCATAACCGCAAGGGAAAGGCGCAATATAAATACCAGTACCATTACCTGTTAACAACAAAATGAAAGTTACAGATTTTGAAAGCGTGTATTGAATTGAAATATACAGTAAATGACCATGAATTAATATTAATTATATATATTTTATATTACCATGACCAAGTTCTGTTTCTCTTTAGCAAATCACTGGAGCCTATATGCCCTAGGTCAGTACTTGGAAATTTTGCTCGGTTAGATGCTGAAGCAAATGCTTTGCAGAAAGCGCCTGTTGATGAGCCTGAACTTTCTCAGGTAATATACATACAATTATTAATTTATTGACAGTTTAACATGCTACAAAGCATAATATTACTGTATTTACATTAAAATTAAGAATACAAACTTCCTTAAAACATATCAAATGAGAGGCATCTCAGGATGATTGCATTTTCAAAAGGATAGCTGGATGAATGTTGACACAGATGGTAACACTTCTGATTTACAGATTGTTTACTATGCAAGTCCAAGCCAGGAGTATAGAAATAGTATATTTACTGATGGGTCTGATAAATATACTTAGAGACTTAATCAGTTACAAAATTCAATATTATTTGCAAGACAATTATTTGACATTAAACAGATGTATAAATAATACTGTTCTGTAACTCAAAGTATGTTGCTAAACACTTGGAGACTTTAGTATAGGCGCTATATACCGTATATATTCAAATAAATGCCTCCCTCAAATAAACCCCCGCCAGAGCCTCATTTGGAATAAACGCCTCCTACAAATAAATGAGGCATGTCCTAGCGAATTGGTTATGTTGTAGCACAGTCCAGTATTGAGTAAATGAGCTATAAAATATGGGAGCTCAAAAAATTGCCTAAAAATCCAAATTTGTTTTTCACTAGAGATCAACAGTTTAATGTCTTATTAATCATGTCCCAAAGTATTAGTTCTGGAAGTATTCAACAAATTGTTTATTTAGTGTTATTTCGATAGTTTATTCTATTAAACAATGTATGCACAAATAACTTTAAAAGGCAATTACTCAAAATCATGTTTATCTTGACTCTAAGAGTACTGTACTTTCACTTTCCGTTAACTTAATGACCCCTCATTTTAAAGATCACATACTCAGGTATCTGAAAATACCAATAACTTGAATTTCAGTTTTTGCTTCAACAATGTTCCCCTTCCCCCAAAATGACTAACTAATGGAAGCAGTGTCATTTTGTCAGTCAACACCTTCCTTAAATAAAAGGCCCTTCTAAAACCTTTCTCAACAATAATCGCCCCAGAGTGTTTATTCGAATAAATTACTTG